GAGATCTCATTTAATAAGGTGTGATCTTGTTTTTTTAAGATATTCAACTTTCGAGTTTAAAAATATTAGTGAAAACAAAAGGTCATGTTAAACTTGAAATTTGTTACAAAACTAACCATATTATTAAGCAAAGGTACTGGAAAACATTTTGAAAGCACGATTTTAATACTACTAGTTTTAAGAGTAGGCGGGAAGTTTAAGGTAATGAATTGAAACAAGAGGATGTACATTTTATAGGTAATAATAATAATGTTGTTCATTGCGTTTTCAATTCAGACTTTGTATAGTTCTTTGGCCAGAGGAAGTTTTCACGTAGGCGATGGACATGGTGTCCTTACTGGAACCTATTTTGAAAGCATAAGAAACAACACAGGCAATATAAAACACGGATTATGCAAGAGCATATGATTATGATGGATTATTAAATTAGCAAATTTGTTAGTATTACCCAATTAGTTGCTTAGTTTAGTTTTGGGAATAATGACTTTGTAATAAGTATTAAACGATACAAGAAAATACCGTATGAACGAGAAAAGTTGGAAAGTAAGAGGAATTGTTATATCAACGTATGTTTTGAACTTAAGCCTATCAGTGAGAGTTAGTTAAGTTAAATAAAATATATAATAAATGAGATAAAACATTTTTTCATTACCATTCAGTGGACTGGACTTTGTATTATGTTTTACTCTCTCAATACGGGGTCAGTCAATTTGACCGAGTCACGTGACTTTTTGTACTAGTTTAAAGTCTTTATAGATTTAATACTTATAACTCTTAATATAGTGGGTATATCTTCACGAAATTTGGCAGATTATCAGTAAACATTACGATGCTTTCATACGCAAAATATCTAATTTTTTATTAAGTCTTGAGGTTTGTAAAGCAATGTTTCTTTCATGCCTTTTTTCACATCTTGCCTATCTATCATGCAAAGCAATTTTCATTTTACGATTAAAAATACTTTTATGCATCAGAAAAATTTTAATTTCACATGCGAAATCTTTATAATGTCCGGATAGTTATTAAACGTTTCTTAAGAAAACTTTTTATATTTTATCTGTTATTTTCAGTAATTAATCTCTGTAGGGGTTCAGTAGATAAAAATTAGGAAATAGACATAAATTATGCCTCTTTCATTCTGGAATGAACACAAATAATAACACGAAAACAAACTTTTTAGACGAAATAGCATAAAGCTCCTAACATTATACATTTATATATATTATTTTTATTATATTGACCTTTCACCCGTGCCTGACTAGCAATACAGAAGTTAAAACGACATGGCTCACGTGCACTCACGTTACCGTATTAAATAACATAAAGGTGACTGTTACGACAGCGGAAGTCACGTGACGCTGCTGGCGCGTTGGCGCTGGTAGCGTGCGTGATGAGTTTCTTGAATGATCAGAGAAGTCCGAGTGTGTTCGAGATGCCCTCTTCGTTAGTATTGTTACGTCTCTGGTCGTTTGTTAATTTCCCGTAAAAATTCCTTCTGAAAAACTTCAGCGATACAAGTCCTTTCTTAAATAAATAAAACTAGTTTATTCTTTCTCAATACAACTTTGCAATACACTTAATTTCCACAGTCACTTTAAGTTAAACACACGCTAGAATTCACAACGATTCATGCACTTTACTTACGGCTTGACTCGATTATTTGTCTCTTTATCTCTCTGTCTGCAATTATTACTGCCGTCACTTTATTTGCCGGCTTATATACTATAAAAGCGCGAGTCTAGCAAACGCTAGGCCGTTCGACAGGTTCCTCGATCTTTCTAGATACTCATTACGTGTTACCAGCGTCACGTGACTTCCGTTGTTGTAACAGTATATAAGTCTAGCAGAGACAGCCAGCAAGGATAAACGAATAGAGAGCAGTGGTTACTTTGAGTTTCGTGTAATTTATGATTCTATCAGTTTCGAGTTAGTGAGCCGTAAAGTGTGTGTTTTGAACACAGCGAGAGCGAAGTTATCGAGATTATAAAAGTTGTTAAGTTTAAAGTGACGAGAAACGTACTGATTGTGGAACTACTGTGTACTAAAAGTTTGTATCAAGGAAGAATAAACTGGTTTAATCAAAAAAGGTATTGTATTGCTGAAGATCCCTGGAAAGAATTTCTACCGGAAACAAACAAATAAGCAGATACGTAACATGACCTTTGGTCTGTACAAAGTAACCTGTCTTGGCTGTGTTTTAGTAGACTAGTATTTTGTAAAATACAGTCACATTTAAATTATTATACATTATATATGTAAATATATTATTACTATTTTTCAATAAGTTCTTAAAGTTATTTTTTCCTAAAACATAGAACAGTAAATAAAGAAGTAAAGCAAACAATTATCTCTTCTATTTACGATCTTTGTACTCAGTTGCTGCTTGACATAGGTTGCTAAGCCTTTAAAAATTTTGTAAGTGGAGGATATGAAACTAAATATATATATATATATATATATACATTTGAATAAACTAAAAAATCATAAATTACTATATCAATACC